CCGGTTCGCCCTGATTATGTTTCTAGGTTTGTCAGCACCATACTCGTGGGGTTTCACCGAAGTGGTAAACGTCTGAGACCTGCATTACTTCGGGCTTTCCTCCCACATTAAGCTGACATGCCGCAATATAACTGGAATACTGTTAAAAGCGGCGTTAAACCCAACTCTTTCACTCAATTACACCCAACACTCGATGACGATTGTAGGTGCCTCATCCGGCCATAGTGCATTCCGTGTCAATGAAAGAACTGACTGTTGCCCCATTTGCCGTTTCGCTTTTATGGGTACCTTCAACACCAGACCGTCCATGTTCTACATTAACAGCGGGCGACTGCTCAGAAACACACGCTCTGGTTAGTCTCATGGATAGGAAGAGTCCATGTGTACTGAGTTGGCATCAAAAAACGATGAATAGGACGTTTCTGGACATGTTATTCTATGTGTGTCTTTTGTTTTGTAAATAAATAACTGTTATTGGATATTATTGAGATTGGAATTTGCAACATGAGATTTACGTTTCTTTCGGAGCTTATACATTCCGGGTCTGTATGGATGAATGGCGGTGAGATAAATTCATTGTCAACCGATCCCTCGAGACTTATGGTATATATGTATATTATATTGAATATCCGGAAAAGTTAGTTGATTGGTTTGTTGTTTAACGCCGCCCTCAGCAATATTCCAGCTATACGACGGTCTGTAAAAAAATCGAGTCTGGGCCGGACAATCTAGTGATTGACATCATGAGCATCGATCCACGCAACTGGGATCGATGACATGTATAAACCAAGTCAGCGAGCCTGACCACCCGATCCCGATCCCATTAGACGCCTTTTACAGCAAGCATTGATTGCTGAAGACCTATTCTACCCCGGAATCTTCACGTGTCTCTGGAAATGTGTTCAATGCGGAGTAAAGCTGCAGACAAACTAAATATAGTGTAATTATATTTTGCGTCATTTATTAATAAGTTTTATGACGAAAAGTATATACATTCACGTACACATTTAATCTAAGTGAATGTATTTGCAAACATAGAAGTAACCCTTTTATCACCGTTTCCACGAAGTTCCCCTAATCGCAACCCCCTATGCACTTACAGTCCGAAAAAACATACCTCTTGACCTTCACAACTTCTTCAGATACAACTACACAAGTCGAAGGATTCCTCGCGTATATGTGCAAACATAACTGGCAATGCTTCATGCAACCATATTTTACAATTACGTCATTTGCCCTTGACTAATAATTACGATATTTTTTAAGTAATCGTTGTTGTTGTCGTCGTCGTTTAACGCCGCACTAAGCAATATTCCAGCTGAATGACGACGATCTGTAAATAATCGAGTCTGGACCAGACAATCCAGTGACTGGAGCATCGATCCACGTAATTGGGATACCATGACATGCCTCAACCATGTCAGCTGGCGCACCCACCTAGCGTCGCCTCTTACGAAATGCAGGCGCTTTTTAGGGCATACATCGGTTGCTGAAGACCTATTCTACCCCGGATCTTCACGGGTATTTTAAGTAATTGAGTTATATGTCTGCAGTACTGCCGAGCTTCATACAGGAACAAATGGTAATGTTCCATACTTCCACCGTTTTAGTCTTATGTAGATTAGTGTTCAGAAGTATGTCAGTCATAATCATTCGTTCGCATGTTTGAATAATTATACTTTTAGAAAATTATTGTTTATTGTACTTATATTGTTTTATGTTGTTCAACCCCGCACGCAGCAGTATTTCAGCAATAACCAGTGATTGACAACATGAGCTAGATATTGTCTAATACCATACACCCTCATTAATCTGTGAGGTGAGGTGATGTGAAATGGGGTTTAACGTCGCGTCCAGGATTATTGCACTTATATAGCGACGTGCATGTACGTGTGGGTGTTTGTGTGGCTGCTTGTACTAGTCCGGACTGATGCCGATTTATAGTGCTTGCTCATTGAGATACCATGCCGCAGTTTAACATGAATACCCAACAGGGTATCAACAAGTACCATGTTTTAACGTCTGACTCGGCCGGGGATCGAACCCCGGACCTTCCGCTCTCCGGGCGGACGCTCTACCACTAGACCACGGAGGCGGTCCATTAATCTATGAGACACACCATGTAACACTGCACTGACAAAAATGACGTGAGTGGGAAACCGTAAAAGATAATACCAATATTCAAATCTCTTGTGTGTGGTGTACGTGCGTGAGTGCGTATAATGTCTTCAGTTTTGAGTCATAATTCAATTCCTATCCGATCTTAAATCATATTGGATATATACTCTTCAAAATAAGTGTGGATGCACAGCCATAACTTAATAGTTTTCTAAAGTGTAAGATATAATAGTTTCCTGTAATAGTTGATCATAATGATCATAATGAACGAATCGGGAACACATTACATCCGGCAGTGAAGTATGACAGTAGATCTTATGACCGCCGACGATCTTGAAGGACGATTGGGGTAAGATGGGGAATTTCAGTCGCCATAAGATCAGTATTGCGTAATACCGCCACTATTCTGTAAAATGTTGATGGGTCTTTCAAAGGCGATTTGAGGAAGTCTGTCCCCTTCTCTTGCTGCACCTAGCCAGGTTTAGCCAACGTGTTCGGCGGCCTATGACGTTGACGCGCACGGTGGGCACGGGCGTTGTCGTCCTGAAAGACAAAACGTCGACCAACACGCCTTGCAAAAGGGACAACTAAAGGGTGTCAGTACGTTGTCGCGATAGTACTGACCAGTGAGCCTTCCTTGCACAATATGGAGTTGGATTCGCTGAGTCATAGCATACCACCCCACACCATAACCGATCCATCGCCAAATCTTTCATGAGGTCTCAGGTTGACATTTAGTCGACGCAAGACATGACCACGCCTATCAAGAAAGTGCAAAGTGAACCGGTACTGGTTTCGACGTTGTGTACACCGTTTTTGGCAACATGAATATTTGTAAGCAGGGGGTCAACACGTGGCCATGGAGAACTCGTACAACAGGGCCTGATTAAAACTTTGCAGGAATTTGATTTGCCGTTTGAGTTTGATTTAGTTTGTTCTTTATTGCCACAATCAGCACTATTTCAGTTACATGACGCCGGTCTGTAACTATTCGAGTCTGGACCAGGCGATCCCGTTATTGCTATTGCATCGACCAACGCAGACCAACCGATCCCGTTAGTCGCCTCTTAGGACAAGCAGTTGCTGAAGAGCAAGTCTAACCTCCCTCTGAAGTTCTACTAAAAGACATTGCAAGATGGTACTGGCCCTTTGGCATTAACGGAGTTAAAACAAAGGACTATTCCAATTCAAAGTGAGGGTTGACGAGCATATGATGCATGATGGTAAGAAGAGCGTCAGTACTTGTGATACTTGGCTGGTTTTCAGACGTTTTCAAAATCAGGCGATTCAGGTCTAAGACGCAACATGACATTGAGCGACAGGCTTTTTTTCCAAATTGAATCTACTTATCGAGTACGATTTGGAGCACTCTTTCAAGTCCTTCAACAGTAATAATACAATATAATTTATGGATTATAGATTGATTCTGGGTGGTCATTTACTGATGTCACAATTCACTGAATTCAGGTCTGTGCGAAACAATTTCTTTAACCTCTGCGTTTCAATTTGGACATAGGGGCTGTTGGGCAGCATAGTGGTTAAAGCGTTCGCTTGTCGATTCCCGACATGGGTACAATGTGTGAAGCCCATTTCTGGTGTCCCCCGCCGTGATATTGCTGGAATATTGCTAAAAGCGGCGTAAAACCATACTCACTCACTTTATTGTATGAAAGGCCACATGCCCATATACAACGGAGTTAAATAACACCGCCGTCATATAGCTGTAAGATTGCGGCGTTAAACAACAAACCAACCAACCAACCATATTTTATAAGATAAAAAAGTCAAAGTAACAATTCACTTCATAACACAAACGCATGATGTATGTACAAAACCACTAGATGTTGTATTAGAGGACCCTTGCAGGACAGTAATGAAGACAATGTTATACCATTAAAATGAGATAAAAACCACTGCGGTAAGTACTCACTCACTCAATTTGGACATAACCTGTTACTCCTGTCACAGAGTGCACATTATTCACATGATAGGCGTGAATCCACATCAGAAGTGGTTCATATAGGTAAAGGGGCGGTCGGGTAGCCTAGTGGTGAAAGCGTTCGCTCGTCACGTCGAAGACCCGGGTTCGATTCCCGACATTGGTACAATGTGTGAAGCCCATTTCTGGTGTCCCCCGCCGGGATATTGCTGGAATATTGCTAAAAGCGGCGTAAAACTATTCTCACTCACTCACTCATATAGGAAAGGGAGGTCACTCTTATTACAACCTGGAGCTATCGTGTTTTTGCATTTGCGAAAAATGGCGTCAGCCATGCTGCACGTTGCTGTGGGCCAAACTATCTATTGGCCATCTTATCCTTAAGGTAAACAGTATTCTAGATAAAATGTTTGAATATATTTTATATGTATTTTTCCATCCGTACCATGCAGAACAATATAAACGGTTCTTGCCAACTCGTGAACATTACATTTCCTCAAATGTTTGTTTGTTGTTTAACGCCGCACTATATGCCGGCAGTCTGTAAATAATCGAGTCTGGACCAGACAATCCACTGATTGATATGTTCAGCATCTATCCACGCAATTGGGCTCCTAGCTACTAAGATGACAGTACAACAATGGAGTACATGTACCTATGAAATAATTCTGATTTACATTAGTTGTAAACAACAAACTGTATGTAACATTGCCAGACACGATGCAGGGTACCTTTCGAAACTGCATGTAGATATTTATGAAGTAGAATTTATCCATCGCTAACAATATATTTCAGTTTTGAATCAATATTTGCCCTGACTTAAACGTCAGTGCCATTCCTGTGCTCTGAAAATAGGTTAACTGCCAATACTTGCATCACCTGCTTTCTCCAACATTAATCTACCACACTACGATATAAGTGACATACTGAATAAACACCAACATTCACTCAAAAGTGCTCATTTATGCTTTACAATCATATACATTTAGACAGTGGAATTTCTTCATAAATAATCAGTTGGGCCCTTTAAGCAGATACACCCTAGTTATCTTAAGATAGAACAACAACTTCCATAAATGAATAAATAAGTAAATAAGTACATGCATACATACATATATACATGTTTGAAACATACAGTTTGAAACATTTTACACCTAGATCGTTGTCATATATTAATAACAAACAATTACTTGCATCAAATTATGTATCTGTAGCTTATGACTAGGATTTATATGTAACGCTAAAATAGTTCATCAGACAGGAACTCGTTTTGGATGGTAATGTTTCCGTCTGCATGTGTCCGTCTGTCTGTCTGCCCCAATCCTCATCTACAGCACAGACAAGAGCTATGTCTGTTGTGACCCTGAATACTGGGGTTCGTGTCTTTCCGGGGAAGATTTTAACACTTTGAGTGATTGATGTGATAGTACTTGCTTCTTGTCACAGATGGATTTTCATTTATCACTGTGGCGTGCTGGAAATGTCTTGTTTAAATTTGGTAAACAATTTAAGTAATATTTCTTTCAGTTCATTTCCAGCTTAAAGAAAAGCATTCGTACCCTCATTATCTTGTATGCTAGTGTCAATGCCTTGCTGCACGAGAAACCTGAAACACTGGATATTATCTCGTTCTGCTGCATAATGGAGGGCGGTCATTCCTTGTTGATCTTGCATACCAATAGTGCCACCATTATCGATAAGCAGTGCCATGATATCCTGTTTGCCAGCCTCTGCAGCATGATGGAGGGCTGTCATGCCCCTCCTGTCTCTGATATTGACTTCACTGCCATGGTGTAAGAGTATATCGACAGTTGCTCTGCGCATGAAGTGAGATCCTAGCCCTGCTGCGTAGTGAAGGGCTGTTTTCCCCTGCTCATCTTGTTTGTTTGGGTCAATACCTTTCAGTAAAATATGCAGAACATTTTCAGCGAACCCTTTCATTGCAGCATAGTGAATGGCTGTCCTGCCACTATCGTCCTCTACACTGGGATTGGGCACTTTATCGATTAAAAGTTTCAAAATATCCATATTATATGACTCTGCAGCATAATGAAGTGCCACCTTTCCCTGACTATCACATTCGTTTGGGTCGAAGCCTTTCTCTAAGAGCAACATAACACTGTCAAATATCCCTTCCTGTGCAGCACAGTGAAGAGCTGTCCTGCCAGTGTTGTCTTTTACAGTCAGGTTAACATCCTTATCTAACAGCAATTTTACGCTACCACTGGAGTATCTCCTTACAGCATGATGGAGTGCCACCTGCCCTGCTTCATCTTGAGCATTTGGGTCAACACCTGTCAGTAAAAGAGCCTTAACACTGTCAGCTGTTCCGGACATTGCAGCATAGTGAAGGGCTGTCCTGCCACTTTGGTCCTCTACACTGGTGTTGGTCCCTTCATCGATCAACAGTTTCAAAACATCCCCCGCGATTCCCACTGCAGCATAGTGAAGAACCGTTCTGCCATTGTTGTCTTTTACAGCTATGTTATCACATTTTTCTAACAGCAGTTTAACACTACCACGAAAATCGCTGTTTGCAGCATAATGGAGAGCCACCTTCCCTGTTTTGTCTTTGATGCTTGGATCAACACCTTTCTCCAAGAGAAGTTGAACTGTCTCTTCAGATCCTGTCTCAGCAGCATAGTGAAGGGCTGTTCTACCTGTATCGTCTTTCAACGTGTGATCAATATCTTTTTGTAACGCCAGTTTAATCGCGTCTGCACCACATAAACGTGCTGCATAGTGAAGTATTGTCCTCCCTTGTCCATCTGTTACAGTTGGATCAACTCCTTGTTCCATCAGTAGTTGCCATACATCTTTTGACCGTGCATAGAACCACAATGTACGGCCCTCACAGTCACGTAAGTTAGGATCTGCCCCTTTATCGAAGAGTAACTTAATGCTCTGGACTGATGAACGTTCTGTAACAAATGCAAGTGTTGTCATGCCTTGTTGGTCTTGTATATTTGGGTCCACGCCTCTATTTAGGAGCATTCCTACATAATCGTTATTCACACGAATTGCAGCACAGTGGAGGGCTGTCCTCCCTTTATTATCAACCGTTCTTGAGTAATTGCCTTTATTTGTGTTCTCATTTTGTCCTTGTACACCTTGAGAGTCGCCATTTGCAAGCAGTAGTTTAACAATGCTATTATTCTTGCTGGTGTTCAACATAGTAACCGCCTTATGAAGCACAGTCATTCCGTCATTATCTTGAATCATGGGATCTATGCCTTCCTCTAAAAGCAATTCAACACACTTTTCCCTTTGATGTTCTACAGCAATGTGAAGAGCTGTCTGTCCTTTGTTATCTTGAACGTGTATATCGACGTCTTTCTCGAGGAGAAGAAGAATATTGAAGATGCAGTCATTATTTGAAGCATAATGTAATGCTGTTTTGCCCCCAAGATCTCGCATATTGGCATCACACCCTGCATCTAAGAGGCGTGAAGCAATTGGCCACGATTAAAACGTTGCTGCAAAATGGAGGGCGGTTTTCCCATTGGTTTCTTGTAAATTGAGATTTACCTTCTGTTGCAGTAACAACATTACTCTATCAATTTTCTGTGACATAACAGCATGGTGAAGTGGTGTCATCCCCAAAATATCTTGTGCTTCAATACCAGTTTCCTGTTCAGTTTCCTGTTTTAGAAGTAGTTTCATAATGCCAAGGACCATCTTCTCGTCCCTTGAAATGACTTCTTTTGCAGCATAGTGGAGTGCTGTCATACCCTGGTTATCTTTTATATTTAATGCAATACCTTTTTGAAGCAGTGCCAAAACACAGTCGATATTTGTATGTCTTGTAGCAAAGTGAAGTGCTGTTCGACCTTCAAGATCTTGCTGATGGATATCAAGATGTGCATTCAAAAGATGTGTTACAGTTTCTGAGATGTACTTATAGCTTTCACCTGTAGGTGCAGGAGATTGCATCGCCAAATTTCTGTTGGAGTTATCCTTGCAGTTAACACTTAGTCCTTGGTCTATTAGAAACGTAACAAGCTCCAGATCGCCTGTCTCTGCTGCTGATATAACAGCTGGAAACAGTGCTGTTCTTCCTTCATTGTCTGTTGTATGAAGAAGAGCACGTTTCACATTAAACAGATATTGAAGTTTTTCTACTCCACCAATGTGTGATGCTGCTGCTGCATGTGCAACTGTTTTCCCATCCGTGTCAACTGCATCAACGCTGGCTCCAATTTCACATAAAAATTGGACCATATCCACGTCAGCATGTCTGCAAGCAGCATGAAGTAACGTCTCCTTGCATCCAACATACGAAGGTTGCAATATCTCAAATGAGATTTGAAAAACTGACCGAGAGTACTTGTGGTATTTTTCCATATCCATATTGACATCAACGCCTCTACTACACAATAACCTCAACAATCCCATGTCCCCAAAAGCAACTGCCTTAGGAACAAGCATGTTGCGTTCTTCATCTTTCATATGTTTATTTGACTTCAGTATATTTTTTATAATATCTATGTTTGTGCCTGAGGATGTTTGTATTAGCAACAGTGGTGTCTGTCCATTATTGTCACGCATAGCAACAGATGATCTTTGTTCTATCAGCAGTTTTACACATTCTGTATGATTGTGTGACACCGCCAAGTGTAATGGAGTCTGGCCAATGCTGTCCTTGGACATAACAGGATGACCCAACTTCAGCAACATCTCAACACACTTTGTGTTTCCATGTTTGGCTGAAATGTGAAGCAAGGACCCATTGCTTTCCTTACTTGGATTTATGAATGGATCTCTGTTAAGTTCTAACAGTGATTCCAAACAATCTGCCCCACCATATGCCGCAGCCTGATCAAATGGACCTCCATAATCTGGTTGTATGCACTGTGTAATACGTGAGGTATTCAATGCAACTTTAACAGTCTTGATGAATTCAAGAATCAGTTTCAGAGCTGATGCATCAGAGTGTGCCGATGCTAACCAGCACAGATAACCAGTATCATTGGCATGATAATTGTTCAGTAGAAGCTTCATTATCTTTGTCAAGTTGTCCATGTCGTATGGTTTGAACACAGGATAAGGGTTTGTTGTCTGCAGCTCACACAATAAAGCTTTCAAAGAATCTTCAAATATGATGTTGTTTTTTCTCTCGTGCTTCAGTTTATCTGTTAGCAGTTTCACAACGGTATAGTTCCCATTTAGTACTGCCAATGAAAATGGTGTCCAGTTGAACATATGCACAAGACCCGCGTTAGCCTTGGCCCACTGTGCTTGTATCTTTTCAACGTCATCCCAAATGTTGGTAAACAGTCTTTCAGTGGTGTTTGTGTCGATGCCTCTTGAAACACAAAGGGCGCTGAAGCAGCTCCCATTTGGTTTAACTCCTTGGGCTAAAAGTGTCTCTATGAGTAGGTTACTCCCTACATAGATAGCACAGGGCAAACAATCCTGCAACACATCGGTGGAAAGGCTGCACTTTTCTAATAGGGTGGAGAACATGAACGAATGTTTGTTAAGAACGAAAAGCTCCAACAACGTTTTGACTTCTAAATTCTGTGTGTAAAGATAATGAGATGCAGGAGCAAATATGATCACTTCCCTTGACTTTTCAAATTTATGAGAAACTATATCCCCAACATTTTGTTGTGAAAACCATCTATCTACTACGTGATTTACAAATGTTTCATTTCGAAGAGATGGGTGTTTCAAAATGGTGACCACTTCTTCACTGACCATCAATTGAATTATTCGATCGGCAAATGCTTCATAATGGTCCTCATTCAAGAACACTAGGTTTTCTTCTATTCTCACTCTCCCTTTCTGATGTTCTGACAAATTCTACAAGTATGTTAGCGGGACACAAATGAATGTAAATGTCAGGATACACTTGTGATATGTTTATGAAAACTGCGTCGAATATTGACTGGTGCTGGAAAACATATCCCTTTTCAGTGTGCCAAAGGTATGAACCACAAAGTGAATCAGCCTTCTGTTTGATCTCATACAGACTTCGATTGTTAGGAATCTTTGAGCATAACTTTGTCAAGTCATCTAACATTTTTTTAAACTCTTGTGGACTTTTGTGAGGTTGAAGATTCTTGGTATCAAGATATCCTTTGCCAAACAACACAATCAATAGAACAAGATAGCCAAGCCCATCACTTTCTTGCAAGCAGCGTACTTCCTCCAGCACATATTCGTTTGGTTTTTGGAAGAATCTGACCCTTTGAGCCTGGGCTTCCTTACTTCCTGCGAAATATCGACAACATTGAGGGAATCCAAGTGTTGTCTTTAACTGTACTATTTCATTTATCTCATGTTTAGTAAACTTCACTTTTGTTTCACAAATGCTTTTCAGCAACATCATCTTTTCCCTAGGTCGGAGTGTCAACTCATCTTCATCTAAGGTAAGATAGAACATATGACGAGTGAGTTTGTATTTGTTCAGTCGGGCCTGACATTGGTGACTAATGTCTGGCCGAGATGCAAGCACCAGCATTACATGGCCAGATTCAACAGAAGGATGCATGACATCAAACACTCCAGTCCATTCATCAAAGCGAGACTCAACAAAATTCGTTGATCCGAAAATGTCATCTATCATGACAACATACCTATTCGCTGGTTTTCCAGATTCTTCATCATTTTGTTTCTGAGGGATATCTCTCCACTGTTCTGCCGATGTCAACACTACGGGTTTCCTGTCTGTTAGCCTTGAGACGTCAGCAAGAAGTTTTAACCCTAATCTAGATTTCCCAGAGCCAGGTCGTCCTTTCATAAATATGGCACCACGCTGCTGTAGATGTTTTAAGGCCATCCTCTCGCCATACGTTGATACATACACTGTGTCATGCTGTCCTATCATTGCCTGTGTTGTTTCTGGAAAAAGAATATAGATCACTCTAATTCATGTACAGTTAAAGCCCAGCGTATCTGGCGCATATGTTTGGAAATGAAGCCTTCTTAAGACATTCATCCGGACACTAGTCTATTGTTATACATGACCAGATCATTTTCATTAAGAGGACAGGTATGGCAATCAACTAAGATGAATAAATGTCACTTACATGGTGTTATCAGTTTAAGTATTGTGTAATTACGTTGTGTTTCTGGCACACTTCAAACAGTTATCCTATCCTACCTCATAAGAAATAGTTTGAACAAACATTTTGGTCTTTTCCAATAAACTTATTACAACAATTACAAAATATGGTAATAACATCACAGGGCAAAATACACTTATCGATGTCTTTACAACATTGCAATGACATCGGTAATGCACATGCCATAAGGCCGAGTGGAGGAGACAAAATAAAAAATTCTGTATCTTTGGCCAGTCAGGTTCCCACGTGTAATGATAGGCTTTGTTGTCCGCTGACCACAAATACTGCACCATACCATGACGCCGCCTCTACCATAAGGGTGTTCATCTATGATGTAGTTAGGTGCCAGTGGCTCTCTCCTACGTCAATAAACGTGGACTAGGCCACCATTTGGGAACAAGTAAAATTGACTGTCGTCTGTGAACAGTACCCTTTCCCAATCACGCCGCTGCATCGACTTACAGTCCTTGCCTGTTCGTCTGGCGATGGGGTGTCCAAATGCCGTCGCCGTCAATTATCGATTCCGCAGGTGGATTGTCCAGATGTAGCGATCTTCAACTGGCGTTGTGACCCTTGGTCGAGGCTCACACAAGAGGAACGTGACTGAGCTATTGGTATGGCCGATATGAGGGCCTCTTAACAGCAGATTGCAACAACCTTGAGCTGCAGTCAAACCAGTATCTACAAGTTGTTGAGCCGTTATCAGCAAACAGGCCAGACATAAGACCACTCAAGATCGGTATCGTTGTCTGATAACGTTGTAGTTTAACTCAGATAAATCTTAATTGACAAGTGATAAGCTTCTTTTGCCCAGTGGTTTAGTTTTCCAGGATAGTGTCTTTGTGAGGGGTAACTCAAGTCAGTTTCAAATTCCGGTAGTAGATGTATTTAGACGATTTTACAACAACTGTTGTCTCCTGATAAAGAGGGGAGTGGGTGAATGATTCCTGGAGCTGTAGTCAGAAACATTCTCAAACTATCCTTAAAAATACTCTTAACCCTCTAAGACTATTGCTTAATGCTACACCCAGAAGTGTAGTTATCTTTATTTGATTGTGAATCATGCTCATGATAGAGTCGGAATCGTGATACCCTGAGAGATTTATTTTGAATGTAGAACGTTTCTTGTTGCTTTTATTGTAACAGCTGTGAGATGACTGTTAGTTTGGACATTTCTTGTAACCAGGGGGAACCTGTGCTATATTTAAAACTTCGAGTGCTGTTCAGGCTGAGATTAGGATTTGGTATCATCATTTGTTTCTTCATTCACATGTAACTTTTAATTCTGAGGATGTTTATAACTACGGCCCCTGGACATGGTACATTGATCATTCTATGATATTACAATATTAAGGTTGTGTTAATTGATTTTGGCTTTGACATTAGCAATATCCCAATTGCGTGGATCGATGCTCATGATACCAATCACTGGATTGTCTGGTCCAGACTCGATTATTCACAAACCGCCGTCATATAGCTGGAATATTGCTGAGTGTGGCGTTAAACAACAAACAAACCAAAACAAAAACACTTTACATTTCTGAGAAAATACTTTCAAAATCCTCTGCTCAAATTAGCATAGAGATTCAATCTTATGACCGTTGGTTCGAATCCGAGATTCGCCACCGACATAAGTCTTGGTTTGTCAGCACTATAACCAGGTTCAACTGTTTTTCAAAGTGGTAAATGTCTAGGATCTACATTACTTTGGCTAACTTGACACACGGTGAAAAAAAATACTGTCACGGAAAGTGGCGTTAGACTCAACTCACTCACACACTTTGAAACTACTCACCACAGATGTTCTTAAAACGTTGACCTGGAAGCAAATGAAAAAATTAAATATTACAGACAAATGAGATGTGTTGAGATGTGAAACGTATTTGTGAATTAAGCATTCTATATGTAAATATGTAAAATTCTAAAGACAAATCATGACTAGATGTATTGTTACGTATTTGTAATAAAGCATTTAACGAAACAAATATTGATGTTATGTCAATGCTGAAATACTAGTACTTGTTAAATGGAACTAGACTTCAATCAGTTTGTACTTGTAGTCCCGGCAAGTTATTTCAAACACAGAAATCCTGCAATACATATCGTATATTAAACAGAGGTAGTCTCTCGATTTCACATATGACATTAATCAAAACCTCCAGATAAAGAATTGACATTTAAGTCAAATGAGGTTATGCTACAGGGCATAAAACCCTATTTCAATGCACGCCTTTTAAGTTGTGTTTTTGTATGGTTTGAGCAAACGGTAATGCGGGTTAATACAAATAATTGCCAAAAATATAACTTTTGTCCTTTGAGCACATGTATGTCTGATAACAAAATGAATACATCTCCCCGAGGCAAGTGAGTTAACTGACTATAAAAGTCCAGTTTCAACCTTGCCGAACTAGGCTGGTATTATGGAGTTACATTTTGGCTGGACTAACGAGTCTATGCATAGTCCAATCAAAATCGTGCACCGAAATCGAAATCTGGTTTGTAAAGTGTCATGCAGATTTCGGTCGACTGCAGGAAAGCATGTGCACCGCTAAATCCTTGTCACCAGATATTTTCTAAATCTTTTCATGCTTTTAATCAAGGTGCTCACGTGGTTTAATGCACTTCGCAATGTAAGACTCGTTTTATCACAATATAGATGTTGATTATTAATCAGACCGTCTTGACTGGGCGCCACCGTTTTGTTTAAAGCAAATGCAAGTAATACGAGAGGTTGAATCTGATTGGTCAATAGGAGAGGCATAGAAAGGACATAACTCGTAATAGCCACTGCTGGCGCTACGATCGAGCCGAGGAATTCCAGCCCAGTTCGGCAAGGATGGAAACTGGACTTTTAAAGTCAGTTAACTCTCTTTCCTTCCATGAATATGACTTCAGAAATACTACAATAACTTATATCGACTGCAGAAGCATTATCTTCCCACCTATTGCTTCCTGATTTTCTGATGGCACAGGCTGACGCCTCGGTTTTTTCTCTGGTGTTGTTTGGCTAGATGATGGAGCTTTTATGAATGAAAGGCCTTCAGTCGTCAGTGAAGCTCCCTCCTTTGTTTCAGTGATAGGTGATGTCTGAAAACCTGGAACATGTTTCCTTGAAGCATGGAGAGACGGCACCTGTGAGTTTGCTAACGTGTTTGATATTGGAAGATTGGTATTAGTGAGACATCGTTCTCTGGGCTGTTGATTTGGTTGTATGACCTTTAAAGCAGAAGACCCAGTGTCTCTATAACTATTTTCTCCAATTTCAATGACTGCTTGGCGGGAAGAGGCTTGATCGTCAGAAGACAGATTTGCACTACGGACAGTGTGATCTCTTCTCTCGATCTCGGCTAATTTAACCATTCCTCTGTTCAAGTTATCAGTTCCACCAGTCAGGCTGTCTGTTGACCTGTCCAGGTTATCACTTTCACCAGTTAGGTTGTCTGATATTCTGTCCATGGTATCACTTTCACCAGTCAGGTTGTCTGTTGTTCTGTCCATGGTATCAGTTCCGCAAGTCAGGCTGTCTGTTGACCTGTCCAGGTTATCACTTTCACCAGTCAGGTTGTCTGATATTCTGTCCATAGTATCACTTTCACTAGTCAGGTTGTCTGATATTCTGTCCATGGTATCACTTTCACCAGTCAGGTTGTCTGTTGTTCTGTCCATGGTATCACTTTCACCAGTCAGGCTGTCTGTTGTTCTGTCTATGGTATCACTTTCACCAGTCAGGTTGTCTGTTGTTCTGTCCATGGTATCACTTTCACCAGTCAGGTTGTCTGTTGTTCTGTCTATGGTATCACTTTCACCAGTCAGGCTGTCTGTTGACCTGTCCAGGTTATCACTTTCACCAGTCAGGTTGTCTGATATTCTGTCCATGGTATCACTTTCACCATGCAGGTTATCTGATGTTCTGTCCATGGTATCACTTTCACCAGTCAGGCTGTCTGTTGTTCTGCCTATGGTATCACTTTCACCAGTCAGGTTGTCTGTTGTTCTGTCCATGGTATCACTTTCACAATGCAGGTTGTCTGTTGTTCTGTCCATGGTATCACTTTCACCAGTCAGGCTGTCTGATGTTCTGTCCATGGTATCACTTTCACCAGTCAGGCTGTCTGTTGTTGTGTCCAGGTTATAACTTTCACCAGTCAGGTTATCTGTTGTTCTGTCCATGGTATCACTTTCACCAGTCAGGTTGTCTGTTGTTCTGTCTATGGTATCACTTTCACCAGTCAGGGTATCTGTTGTTCTGTCCATGGTATCACTTTCACCAGTCAGGTTGTCTGATGTTCTGTCCATGGTATCACTTTCACCAGTCAGGTTATCTGATGTTCTGTCCATGGTATCACTTTCACCAGTCAGGTTATCTGATGTTCTGTCCAGGTTATCACTTTCACCAGTCAGGTTGTCTGATGTTCTGTCCATGGTATCACTTTCACCATGCAGGTTGTCTGTTGTTCTGTCAATGGTATCACTTTCACCAGTCAGGTTGTTTGATATTCTCTCCAGGTTATCACTTTCACCAGTCAGGTTGTCTGTTGTTCTGTCCATGGTATCACTTTCACCAGTCAGGTTGTCTGTTGTTCTGTCAATGGTATCACTTTCACCAGTCAAGTTATCTGTTGTTCTGTCCATGGTATCACTTTCACCAGTCAGGTTCTCTGTTGTTCTGTCCATGGTATCACTTTCACCAGTCAGGTTGTCTGTTGTTGTGTCCAGGTTATCACTTTCCCCAGTCAGGGTATCTGTTGTTCTGTCCATGGTATCACTTTCACCAGTCAGGGTATCTGTTGTTATGTCCATGGTATCACTTTCACCAGTCAGGCTGTCTGTTGTTCTGTCCATGGTATCACTTTCAACAGTCAGGTTGTCTGTTGTTCTGTCCATGGCATCACTTTCACCAGTCAGGGTATCTGTTGTTCTGTCCATGGTATCACTTTCACCAGTCAGGGTATCCGTTGTTCTGTCCATGGTATCACTTTCACCAGTAAGGCTGTCTGTTGTTCTGTCCATGGTATCACTTTCAACAGTCAGGTTGTCTGATGTTCTGTCCATGGCATCACTTTCACCAGTCAGGGTATCTGTTGTTCTGTCCACTTTATGACTTTCATCAGGCCTACGGTGCTGGTCATTAGAGATACAGTTTTCTGTGACATTGACATGTGGTATAAAAGGTGGCAAGGCATCTGTAAGGACACTGTGAGCTCCACAGAGGACAGCTGGTAGCACAAATTGTATAACTCGTCTCAATGTTGACGGCTGTGTTCCCTGCAGTTGAGCACCTGTTTCTCCAGTACCAGGACATGGAGGCCGGATCACTCCTTGATGCGGGTGCTCATCCGCAGGATCATCCTCATTATATCTCCCTTCAGTCGTGGATCGTGTCAGGGGTTCAGGTCTCTCTTCCTTATTTGTGTCACCTGAAGAGTCCATTGTTCTACGTTGTCTTCTGTCAGTGGCTAGTTCTACTCTCTTTGACACACACTCCCAATTGTTCAGCCAGCCACTGCACCCTGACTTTACAGTTGTCGTCAGTTCTGAAGTAAATAAAACGGACATCATCATCATCATCATCATCATCACCATCATCCCCATCATCATCGTCATCACCATCCTCATCATCATAATTTCTTTTGGCATTATTATGCAATTGTATTAAGATATAAAAATATATGTACAGCTATATATTTCACAGGCTGCTGTTTGATGCATTCATTTGATTACCTGATCTTATCAGAAAATGTTTTGAAAAGCACTGTTTTCTCCGAGGATCAAAACAGTATTGGTATTGCAATACCAATTCAAGTGATATTCCCCCCTTCCACAAATTAATCTATTGTTGTTGTTTCCACCCTACTGAAGATATGTACATATAAAAATATATTCCTATGTTTAATATTTCCATTGATATATGTGTACTTCAATTATTGATATATTCATAATGTACAATTCGTAGGGGGCACGGGTGACCCAGTCGTCTAAGGCACCGCTATTCGCTTTGCAGAGTTGGTCCCTTGGGCATGCCAGAAACCTATGATTGTGGGTTCGAATCCCGGTTCGCCCCGATTATGTTTCTAGGTTTGTCAGCACCATACCCGTGTTCGTGGGTTTCACCGAAGTGGTAAACGGCTGAGATCTGTATCACTTCGGGCTGTCCTCCGACGTAAAGCTGGCACGCCGTGATATAACTGGTATAATGTTAAAAGCGGCGTTATATCCAACTCACTCACTCACTCATGCCCCAACGATTGGTCAACCTCCAAATGTCACCCGTAAGTAAGGGTCAATTGCAATGACCCGTAGGTTGACGATTATAAGATAGGCCTGATGTGTATACCCACATCATTTCAGAACCCGCAACCAGAAGTTATTTGCATTAATCGATTTATGATGTTGGTTTCAGTATATAGATTTTATTTATCGAGATATATATTCGATGTTCAGTAACTACTGTATATATTATGAAACTTTAAATGGATACTGGGGTGGTCGGGTAGCCTAGTGGGTAAGGCGTTCGCTCGTCACGCCGAAGACCTGGGTTCGATTCCCGACATGGGTACAATGTGTGAAGCCCATTTCTGGTGTCCCCCGCCGTGATATTGCTGTGCCCTCTTCTGTGGGTGACATGCTGGACTCCCATCTCCAAGTATAGTCGGAAGACACGATTGTCTGTACAGTGCCCTCACCCGTCTCTTGCCACTCTCGGGCCTCCAGATCCATGAGAATTCACACCTCTTCACCAGTACTGGAAAGTTCCTGGTCCCAATTTTCCGAGGACTCCGGTTTTGAGGCTGTTTCCAAGGGTTTTGGAATGGCTCTGGATGCCACGGGCTGTAGGAAAGTCCGGAACGCGTCAACCTGGGATGGGGTGAGTGCATTCATGAGCAATGCCAGCACCCTCCAGTACATTAGACAAGCTGGTGAATTTATGGGGTGTAGGCTGAGGCGTGGAGGGTGTGACCACCCCTCCCTCCTAATTAGGTGTGTAGACAACAGAGCCTGTTTGAGGGTTTCAAAGCTAATCTCCTGATCTGGTCCCCAGTTGAAGGGCTTCTTCCCAGTGATTGAATACAGAGGGGCCGCTACCTTGGCATAACCCTTGATAAAGTTTCTGTGGTAGTTCGCAAATCCCAGGAAGCTCTCTGTTTCCTTTGTCGTCTTAGGGGCTGGCCATTCCACGACTACTCCCAGACTAGCGTTGTTCACCTCCACTCCATCACGACTGACGGTTCTCCCTAGAAACTCTATTTTCTGCTGGAAGAGTTCGCACTTCTTTGGCTTTAGTTTTAGGCGGTTATTCTCGGAATCGTCTCGAAACAGTCCGTAGATTCTCAAAGTGCTGAGGGATGGTGATGCCATTTACCACTGTGTCATCTTAGAATGCTAGGACCATGTCCCAACTCAACCATCCATGTATAAGTGACATCACCCGGGCATAGGTGGCTGGAGCGTTGCACAATCCGAAACCAATCCTTATGTGATCGTAGAGGCCGTATTTCGTGACAAATGCGGTTTTCCTCCTGTCTTCCTCTTTAATCCTGACTTGCCAGTAGGCAGAGTTGGCAAGTAATTTCGAAAACCAAGTGCTGTTTGCTAATGTGTCGAGGCACTCGTCGATCAAGGGCAGAGGGAAGACGTCTTTCGAGTCCTGGCATTAAGCGAGCGAAAATCTATGCACCAGCGCACACCTCCACATTTCTTGCGGATTAACACTGGCGCCGAGGCCCACTCCGAGCTTGAAGGCTGGATGACGCCTCCCTTCAGCATCTTCTTGAGATGTTCCTCCTCTTCTTCTGCGAAACCGAGATGTGTGCGTCTCAACCGCTTGGCATCCCCGGTGTCTATGGAATGTTTTATGGCTGAGAAGTCACCCCGGTCAAGCTCGTCCCGGGCGAACACGTCATGGAATTCAATCAGAAGTTCTGCCAACTGGCGCCTATCGTCATCCTCCAAATGAACCTTGGAACGTTCAAATAAGTCTGTCAAATGAGGTGGGACCACTGGCATCCCCATCTCTTCCACTGGATCCGCTATCCCTGTGACTCTGCACTGATACGGACTCTTATCCATTCTACACCTTGTCATTGTTGTCTCATATTCCAGCACAATAACCTCAGCTTCAGACGCTACACCCACTTGACCGTGGAAGAACTTAATGTGTCTATCAGAGGTGTTGATGAGGCACACAACTGACTCTGCTCCCCCCTGGTGTATGGTCCGAGGCATCAGGTCGTGTGCCAGGACTCCCAGGACAGGCTCCACCATGTATTGTTCTATTTTTTTATCCAATCGTCCCGTGATGATAATTGGGACATTTCCCCCGATGGTGATGTTTTGATACTCGAAACTGATATTAGTGCAGTTGTTCATCAGGAAGTCTGTTCCCAAGATTAGCGAGTCTCCGATTGGGGCTACCAAGACTTCTTGCCTATACGTCCTGCCGTGAATTCGCAGCCTGGCGGGCTCTGTTACCCATCCTCTCATCCTCAGGTCTCTCCCTGCATTGTTTACCATGACCTCCTGCACTAGGACTGGTTTGTCTGATAGCCCATCAAAGAAAGTATCCGCAATAAGGGTTACATCAGCCGCACTGTCCACTATTCCCACTGTGTTCACACCTTGAAAATCCACTTTGATCGTGTAGGAGGCGCCTTGGTTAAGGGCATGGATTGTAATCATTGGAAGCCCTGTCTCTATGTCAATCTCTCTGCCTTTGCTAAGTCTGGGTGATTCTCCTGGCTTCAATTGTACCGGCTCACTGTGTGAGTCTTGGCTGGTTCTTGCCGGCTTGTGCTCTTTGTCCGGTGATTTGTGCATCAGAGGCACCGGCTTGTTTGCTGTTGGCGGCGGCCAGGGAAGTGGTCTGTCCCTGTCGAATGTCCTATGAGGCAGTGTGGAGACTCTGTTTGTTCCCCTCGGTGTGTCATGAACCAGTGACACCGTCTCCATTGCTATGTCTGGTGGCCATGGAGGTGGTCTGTCCCTGTCGAATGTCCAATGAGGCATTGTAGATAAGCTGCTGGTTCTCACCGGCTTAAGTTCCCCATCCGGTATGTCATGAACCAGCAGCGCCGGCTCTATTGTTGTGTCTGGTGGCCATGGAGGTGGTCCCTTGGTGTCTGGTCGACCTGCGTGAGATGTGGGGGAGGGATTCTGGCCTGTCCGCCCTCCCCGTACATGATTTAAGTCACGCCCCCAGACGGCTCTACAAAGGACACCTTTCTCTGCTCGCTGGGGCTCTTGCGGGGACAATCTGCCTTGAAATGCCCCTCAACTCCACAGATAAAGCATCCCTTAGTGCGTCCGCTTGGGCTCGGAGACCTTTGACGTCCTCTACTGTTCACATTCTCCGCCAGCTTCGTGACCATAGTCTTGATTTCCTCCATAGAAGTCCTGATCTCTTTTATAGAGGTCCTGGTTTCATTCATAAAGGTCCTGGTTTCCTCTGCAAACAGGGTGAGGCTACTGACTTTCTGTTCCACAGCTTCCAGTCTCCCTGTTATCTCTGTGCCAGAATCACCAGAACTACCCGATGACTTGGGACTCAAGGCTTGAACCACCTTCACCCGTGTTTCTGGTAGTAGTGATGTGTCTGTAGCGACCTGTCGTATCTCCCGACGGGCCCTTCCATACACTGCCTGTGTATTATGCTGGTATTGGCGTAAGCTTGCAATGGCGACCTCCAGGGTCCCTGGTTTCATGTTAGAGATGAATTGTCCAGCCTCCTTGTTTTCGCATCCTTGGCAGAGACGCATTATCACCTGATGATCGATGAACTGGTCTGGACAATCCCTGAAAGCTACCACAGCCGTGGCCAATAATCACTGTGCCCAGTCTTCTAATGTCTCTCCCCCCTCTTGCCTCATGGTAGGGAATCGTATCTGTGCCGTCTCCGAAAGTTCACTGCGTTCAAACCGTTTTTGTAGTTTAAACACCATATCCTCAAAGGACAAGTCCGGGTCCCGGTCCAGGCACATAGTAATATAGTCACTTGCCACGTCTCGCATCACTAACGTGAGTTGATCTTTTTTCTCCTGTTCCCAACAACCCTCTCTGCGGGCCAATGTTTGGAATTTGAGGTAAAAACCTGACCAACCAGATCTTCCGTCATATGTTAGGTTAGGGGTACTATGGCGTTGGGGCTGGTCTCTTGCTCCTTCCCGTCGTTCGGGGCCTCTGCGAACTGGACCTCTATTCACGCCCCTATCCCATCTAACTCCATCACCCTTGCGGCTAGGTTCTCGATGGTCCTCTCGCTCATCCACGTCACTTTCCTCTGCTTGATACCTATCCACGGTGGCCCGGTCCTGGTCGCCCCGACCATCCGAATCTCTTCTATCGGGGCCTCTTCTGTTAAGTCCTCTGTCCCGCGTGGTCTTCTCACTATCAGTTGGTTCCTGCTTGACCACCTTGGGATCCGGTGCGCCTTGTGGTCAGTTGCTGATTGGTAGCTGTTCACTTGCTTGGGCAAAGGGTAATCCCAAGTGGATGGATTCACACCATGTGCATCCAAGCTCGCCGGGAGTTAGAGGGTGAGCTGTGGCCCCAATTGGCTCCCTTGTTTGGGGTCCCTTTGTGCTGGTACAGGCTTGAGTTCCCATACTCGCCAGAACTGTCCGATTGAAACTGGGGAGTACCTCCCTGTGGCGATCCTCGAGCATGTTTCCGGTTCTGCTCCGTGGTCAGATAATCCACACTCTGCAACAATAGCTTGTGTTGTGTGTCCTTGACTAGCGCCCCCTGTCCACCCCCTACAGTGCTGTAAGTCGAGAGCGCAGGTGGCGGCAATCTTTAGTCCTGTTCCCTCGGCACCGGTGGGATCGGCGTTACAGGCTCATTTTTTACTTGCGGTGCTTTCCCGGGAGAAACCGCCTCCCCACTATACTCGCTCCCCTGTGCTCTTAAAGAAGGGTGGTACTGTCTTTGTGGGCTGTCGTCCAACCTCGGTTCCGGGTGAACCCGTGGTCCCCTTTGGATACTGGTAACTATTTCCCGCGACGGATTCATAAGTGCCGGCCTGTCTTGCTGCAGGCCCGAGTTACTCTTGCCCGGGTTTTGTAGTGTGGGAGCCAAATTAGCCAACGCCTTGACTATCTGCAAGCTAGTTTCAGCCTGGGCTGCCAGCATCTCTGATAGTCTCCTTTCCTGAGCCTCTGCCATGTTTTTCTGATGGTCCAACAGTCTCACCATAACTTCCCAACCCCTCGGATGTGTCTGGGTCTGTGCCATTCCCCCTTCGGCCTGGTCATCTGCACCCTCCTGCATCCAGTCGTATGGATTTGTCTCCAGCTGTTGCACATGCTGATCCTCCATCCTCTCGGTATGGTTCCTTCGCCTGTTGCCATGGTCGGGGTTTATGGCAAAGTCTAACTGGCTCACCACCTCGTCACTGTCATCAAATCCCTCTAAACTGCGGACATCATCCAGGATGAGATTGCCCACCACACTTCTCCGGTCTATGATCCTCTGCGCCAGTCCTATATCAATCCCTTGGATTTCACATAGTTGAAACCAAGTGGCATAATTGACTCTCATTCCCTTTTCCTCCATCTTCCAACAGTGTGTAGAATACTTTGGAAAAACACACCGAGCAATGAACAATAATACAATATATCCAGACAACTATTTGCCCTGAATCCTAATGAAAATAACAATACTATTCCTACTTCCCCTTACACTAAACACCTACGCTATTTGTTATGACATACCAACTCACGAACTTATACGTCCGTGACGAAAGTGGGTGACACTCTCGAGGCAAAGTCAACAAACATCCGTAACGAGCTGTCACCAATTGTCAAACACAACTACGCATGTGAAAGGGTCAAAATTGATATAAGAACATGAATTTCTGATACGCTACTGTTCCCTAATTATTAATTATTGTGCACAGCCACGAAAACGGACGTACTTGATCAACGCACGCTGATTTCCACGTGCGTTGAACTATAAATTTACCAGCCGATACGGAACAGGCTGTGAAAAGAAATTACTACTACAATGTCGCACGGTACTAACCGGGCGAAAAATGTTTCCACTCGTCGCAAAATGCTAAAGTTTCATTCAACTTTAGCCAAATATCCCTCTTGTCCCTGTAGCCAAGAGACCCGTGAAGATTCCGGGGTAGAATAGGTCTTCAGCAACCCATGCTTGTCTTAAAAGGCGACTATGCTTGTCGTAAAAGGCGACTAACGGGATCGGGTGGTCAGGCTCGCTGACTTGGTTGATGCATGTCCTTGATCCTAACAGCGTGGATCGATGCTCATGTTGTCAATCACTGGATTGTCTGGTCCAGACTCGATTATTTACAGACCGCCGTTATATAGCTGGAATATTGCTGAGTGCGGCGTTAAACAACAAACCAACCAACCAACTGTAGCCAAGAAAAGCAAGATGGCGACGGCGTGGCGGCAATGTCGAGCAGTCGACGAATTCGGAAAAAAATATTTTCCCTAAAAATTCGATGTGTTCACAGCGCCACTGTTGTGAAAACGATATCTCGGTTTCACAAACCTTGTTTTCTACTCACGTACAAGGGCTGTCAGTTACTCAAGTCAGTATCTAAGTCAATACTGCATTGAGCTGGGTTCTCGACCTGGTTTACTCACAACGATGGCTGACAACTCACTGAATCTGGGGTCTCCCGCGGTCAGCCACGGAACGACCAACTCGAACCTTTCCGAAGACCTCCGGAAACCTACGATCACTACAATACCCTTGATTTAATTTCATTTTCCTGCTGAACTTCGCCATTCTGTAAGACGGCACCCAACAAACATAATTAGTACTGCCACACTGTTACACTGTCCTTATCAAGTTTCGTTTTCACAATCATATTTTACACCGGGACTGCGTTTATATCAGACTACACACTGTCCTATTTAATCCCAAATGCAAGCCGACGTGGAGTTGTGATCATGTGATAATTACAAATAAGTATAATCCACTTACAGTCAAGTCTCGTTAATCCGACACTCGTCAATCCGACAATCGGGTTTATCCGCCACGACTGTCGGGAACCGAGTGGATCAGTGCCATCTTGACCCGTTATTCCGACAGTCTCGCACTCAGACTCCGACACACCTAATTTGCAACGAATTACCGAAGTCACTCATTAATCAGTCTCGTTAATCCGACACAGTGATCAGCGTACTCCGTGGTCATCTGCCCGCGAGTACACAGCCCGTGTTTTGTCTATTGCGTATGGTGAGCCCCGAGTCAATACGACCAGGAAGTAATATCTGTCGAAGTAGAAAGGGGTGCATGTCACGCGGTAGTCGCAGCCTGTTGCTATCAGTAACCACACTGTACAACCGGCATGCAGCTGGGACAAAACTGTGCTAAATATATAGCTGTGGGTCTGCACCAGCACTGCGGAGAACGGCCCGATCTCGTTCAAAAAGGCGTTGAGTGCATATGCGACAGCGAGAGCCTCTGAATGTCTCCTCATAAGCCACTTACGTCCTTACTATCACGTATACTGTTGACACAAGTCGGAAGAAAAACGTACATTACTGATATACTCCATATCCAGTTTTTTAGCGTATGTGTTTGTTTGTTCGTTTTTTTGTATGTTGTTTAACGCCGCACTCAACAATATTCCAGCTATATGACGGCGGGCTGTAAGTAATCGAGTCTGGACTTGCTTGCACACAGGTATGAAATGTACGAATGTTATCAGTTTAAAACATGAATGCGTGTTAGTTTGTAAGCCGTTTTAACTTCCGCATTTACCTTTTCCCCAAAGTTTTATTGCGCATTTGGGCCCCACTGCGGATGTGATATATGTCAAGAATTAATATTTAAACATGTTTATGATGCCTTGCAGTTCAACTCTACTGTTAGCAATAAGTCAGTTTTCTGTAAATATTGGTTGCAACAGGATGTGAAAAAACGATCATATTTTTATATTCAGTAATAAATATGATTGTTTATTTATATCATATGACCCGTCAAGATCACGGGTAGAATAGGTCTTCAGCAACCCATGCTTGCCGTAAATGAGGCGACTAACAGGATCAGGTGGTCAGGCTCGCTGACTTGGTTGATACACGTCATCGTATCCCAATTGCGTGGATCGATGCTCATGATGTCAATCACTGGATTGTCTGGTCCAGACTCCATTATCTACAGACCGCCGTCATATAGCTGGAATATTGCTAAGTGCTGCGTTAAACAACAAACAAACAAACATCTACTTTTACCTCTACCAATAACCCCTTACCTCGATCTCTACCCCACACCTAACCTCAACCCCAAAACACGATCATATCCTGACCCGTGAAGATCCGGGATAGAATAGATCTTCAGCAACCCATGCTTGCCGTAAAAGGCGACTATGCTTGTCGTAAAAGGCGACTAACGGGATCGGGTGGTCAGGCTTGCTGACTTGGTTTATGCATGTCATCGATCCCAATTGCGTGGATTTATGTTCATGATGTCAATCACTGGATTGTCTGGTCCAGACTCGATTATTAACAGACCGCCGTCATATAGCTGGAATATTGCTGAGTGCGGCGTAAAACAACAAACCAAACCATACTACAGTTCGATTCGTGAAGTAACCTCAGAAATTATAATACTGCTGACACAACATTGTCATTATCACATCCGAATAACATTCAGTTATACATGAGGCGATGTTTTCCTATTTCCTAACGGGTCACCGTGAACTGAGAGTGCCAGACAGCTGATAACAGAGAGTGTGAAGTATGTTAACAATGTACCATGAACAGTAAATAACCAGGATATATTTTACACTATCGATCGAATATTTAGTGGACAAATTCAGATTTACCCGACGTTTGCAGTTGTTGCAAGAAAAGGAGCCTTGGTTTTGTCACCGTTAACGCCTGATGTATGAATACCTTTCATAAAGTTTCAAATATTCACATCTCGCATTTCTGTAGCATGTACACCTTCAGATACTGTTATTAATGTTGGTCCTACATTTCCTAATTTTCCACTTGCTCCTGATGGAAAATACATTAAGCTACGTTTATAATGAAACCCTTTTGCGAACGGACGGATATAACGAACTGTTTTGGGGTCCCGTTCATTTGCTGCAGGGGCGGTCGGGTAGCCTAGTGGTTATAGCGTTGGCTCGTCACGCCGAAGACCCGATTCCCGACATGGGTACAATGTGTGAAGCCCATTTCTGGTGTCCCCAGCCGTGATATTGCTGGAATATTGCTAAAAGCGGTGTAAAACTATACTCACTCACTCACTCATTTGCTGCATATATGCTGTATATATGCTTATACCGAACTACGGTTAAAACGAATTCAAATTAGTGGTCCCTTTGAGTTCGTTATATCCGTAGTTTACTGTATAGGTAATAACATAATTGTGTGTGGCCAAGACAGACTTCCGCGGTAGATATCGCTTTGAGGAAATTGAATTGCTTTACATTGCCTTTTAGACCATTGTGACATCTTTGGTTACCATGCCGTCACAATCAAATGACATGGCAAATGTCTAAGCTACTGAAGCTGGTTAGCTGCATCATTTCCCCCAAAGACCGCCTCCGTGGTCTAGTGGTCGAGCGTCCGCCCGGAGAGCGGAAGGTCCGGGGTTGGATCCCCTGCCTCGTCATACCAAAAGACGTTAAAAGATGGTACTTGTTGTTACCCTGTCTGGCGCTCGGCATTAAGGGGCTAAAACAAGGACTGGCTTGGGGTCAGTATACTGTGTCTGAGCGGGGTATTCATGTTAAACTGCGGCATGGTATCTCAGTGAGCTAGCACTATAAATCGGCATCAGTCCGGACAAGTATAATACAAGCAGCCACACAAACACACACACACGTACATGCACGTCGCTATATAAGTGCAATAATCTTGGACGCGACGTTGAACCCCATTTCACCTCACCTCACCTCATTTCCCCCCAGGACGCCGGTTACGACTGTTTGGAAACTGAGAAAGTTGGAAGAATGAGTTTTCGAAGATAAACAGAGGCTCACATATTTCAAGTCTCGGCTATTTGTAATCGAACATGTGTCATCGAACCCAGCGCAAACATGATTCAACCACTGGCTTCACCCCCGTTACACCCCGCCGTGACACAGCTAGTATACTGCTTACTGCACCGTAAAACAGGATTCACTCCACTCATTCACTGCCCTACTACCTCTGCTGGTATGTTTCTTCTACAGTGTCTGCTACTCTTGTCACCAGTTCTATCTATTCTGTACTCATGTTACAACTTCTGCTACTTCTGTTACAACTCCTGCTACTTCTGTTGCTACTCCTGCTACTTGTGTTACTACTTCTGCTACTTCTGTTGCTACTCCTGCTACTTGTGTTACTACTTCTGCTACTCCTGTTACTTGTGTTACTACTTCTGCTACTTCTGTTGCTACTCCTGCTACTTCTGTTGCTACTCCTGCTACTTGTGTTACTACTTCTGCTACTTCTGTTGCTACTCCTGCTACTTCTGTTGCTACTCCTGCTACTTGTGTTACTACCTCTGCTACTTCTGTTCTACTCCTGCTACTTCTCTTGCTACCCCTGTTGCTACTCCTGCTACTTGTGTTACTACTTCTGCTACTCCCTTTACTTGTGTTACTACTCCTGTTACTTGTGTTACTACTTCTGTTACTTGTGTTACTACTTCTGCTACTTGTGTTACTACTCCTGCTACTCCTGTTGCTACTCCGGCTACTTGTGTTACTACTCCGGCTACTTGTGTTACTACTCCTGTTACTTATTATACTACTCCTGTTACTTGTGTTACTACTTCTGCTACTTGTGTTACTACTCCTGCTACTCCTGTTGCTACTCCGGTTACTTATGTGACTACTCCTGCTACATGTGTTACTACTTCTGCTACTCCTGTTACTTGTGTTACTACTCCTACTTCTCATGTTGCTACCCCTGCTACTTCTGTTACTACTCCTGCTACTTGTGTTACTACTCCTTCTACTTGTGTTACTACTCCTGCTACTCGTGTTGCTACTCCTGTTACTTGTGTTACTACTTCTGCTACTTGTGTTGCTACTCCTGCTACTTGTGTTACTACTTCTGCTACTCCTGCTGCTTTTCCTGTTACTTGTGTTACTACTCCTGTTACTTGTGTTACTACTCCTGCTACTCATGTTGCTACTCCTGCTACTTGTGTTACTACTCCTGCTACTTGTGTTACTACTCCTGCTACTTGTGTTACTACTCCTGCTACTGCTGTTGCTACTCCTGTTACTTGTGTTACTACTTCTGCTACTTGTGTTACAACTTCTGCTACTCCTGTTACTTGTGTTACTACTCCTGCTACTCCTGTTGCTACTTCTGCTACTTGTGTTACTCCTTCTGCTACTTGTGTTGCTAATCCTGCTACTTGTGTTACTACTTCTGCTACTTGTGTTACTACTCCTGCTACTCCTGTTCCTACTCCTGTTACTTGTGTTACTACTCCTGCTACTCATGTTGCTACTCCTGCTACTTGTGTTACTACTTCTGTTACTTGTGTTACTACTTCTGCTACTTGTGTTGCTACTCCTGCTACTTTTGTTACTACTTCTGCTACTTCTGTTACTACTCCTGCTACTTCTGTTGCTACTCCTGCTACTTGTGTTACTACTGCTGCTACTTGTGTTACTACTCCTGCTACTCCTGCTGCTTCTCCTGCTACTTGTGTTACTACTCCTGCTACTTGTGTTGCTACTCCTGTTACTTGTGTTACTATTCCTGCTACTTGTGTTACTACTTCTGCTACTTGTGTTACTACTCATGCTACTTGTGTTACTACTTCTGCTAGTTGTGTTTTTACTCCTGCTACTCCTGTTGCTACTCCTGTTACTTGTGTTACTACTCCTGTTACTTGTGTTACTACTCCTGCTACTTGTGTTACTACTCCTGCTACTCCTGCTACTGATGTTGCTACTCCTGTTACTTGTGTTACTACTCCTGCTACTTGTGTTACTACTCCTGCTACTCCTGTTGCTACTCCTGTTACTTGTGTTACTACTCCTGTTACTTGTGTTACTACTCCTGCTACTTGTGTTACTACTCCTGCTACTCCTGCTACTTATGTTGCTACTCCTGTTACTTGTGTTACTACTCCTGTTACTTGTGTTACTACTCCTGCTACTCCTGCTACTTGTGTTACTACTCTTGCTACTCCTGCTGCTACTCCTACTACTTGTGTTACTACTCCTGCTACTTGTGTTACTACTTGTGTTACTACTCCTGCTACTTGTGTTACTACTCCTGCTACTTGTGTTACTACTCCTGCTACTTGTGTTACAACGTCTGCTACTTGTGTTACTACTCCTGCTACTTGTGTTACTACTTCTGCTA